TGTATTTTTTTAAAAATTATCATGTCAGTATGTCCGTGTCGTATTCATATCATGTCACGTGTCTGTGTCTGTGTCCATATTTGTGCTACTTATTCTTAACCTATACTCAGGGACAAAGAGAGCATAGCCTAAGTGCACTGTTTTGCAAAAAAAATGAGAATTAGGAAAGAGGGGATATGAAGGAGATGTGGAATTTATCATATTAATGGTTGAACATGGAGGCACACAACTTGCACGTGTACAACATACGTCTTCACATTTTATTTTATTTTTTAAAGTTCTCTCAAGACTTAGAATTTCTTTTTGCTTTTCTGTTAACCCTAGATATATATATATATATATATATGGTTGGTGAATCAATCTAAATCTTTTTTTCTTTTCGGGATTCATACGTTATATATGCATTTGCAAGAAGACCCCATAACAAAGAGATGTCTAGAGCAATTGGTTTACAATGAGATGAATAGTTCTAGATCAGAAGAAACTGGGGAAACTTCTCGGTCTGGGCACTCTTCTCCTAAAAGCTTAGACAAGCGACTACAGCAATCTTATGTAGTATACTATATTGACTGGTTATGGTTACATAGAGATAATAACTCCTATAGTTATACATTTATCATATTAGAATAGTAACTGTGAACCTCTTCTGTGGAATTCATATATATTTATTATGGTACTGTTGTGTTTAAGAAACATATAACTTAGTAAGAAAACTTAATAAGAATTATGATTCTACTGTTGTCACTTATTTTCAACCTCATTTTTTTGCATTGGATGTGTACATTGAGTTAATGTGACATTCGTGCTTGCGAAAAATTATTGTGGTGTTTTATGAACTTCAATCACAATGCATAAGATCCTCAGGCAGCCAATATTATTGGGTAAGAAACACAAACACTTCTAAAAGGGTGGCGTGTCCGTGTCGTGTCTGTGTCAAACACCGACACTCGTTGGACACTTTCCTGACACGTACCTGACACTCATTCAAATGCGTCTTATTGTTTTTTTTTTAAAAAAAAAGAATCTAAACTCAGACACTCTTTGGACACTTGGAGGGCATACGTATCCATTGATTAGACGCACACAAAACTAATTATAAGTTTGAGTAAAATAACTTAGAATACAATGATAAAAGAAAAATAATATCAATTTATAGAAATTAGTGTTATATTGTTTTTATTTATCGTCTTTGAATGATATATTCATATATAGGATATATAATAAATATATAAAATTATATATTTTTTATGTGTCCCCCACGTGTCGTGTCTTGTATTTTTTTAAAAATTATCATGTCAGCATGTCTGTGTCGTATTCATGTTATGTCACGTGTCTGTGTCCATATCTGTGCTACTTATTCTTAACCTATACTCAGGGACAAAGAGAGCATAGCCTAAGTGCACTGCTTAACCAAAAAAAAAGGAGAATTAGGAAAGAAGGGATATAATGGAGATGTGGAATTTATCATATTAATGGTTGAACATGGAGGCACACAACTTGCACATGTACAATATACGTCTTCACATTTTATTTTATTTTTTTAAGTTCTCTCAAGACTTTGAATTTCTTTTTGCTTTTCAGTTAACCCTAGCAAAATATATATATATATATATATATATGGTTGGTGAATCAATCTAAATCTTTTTTTCTTTTCGAGATTCATACGTTATATATGCATTTGCAGGAAGACCCCATAACAAAGAGATGTCTAGGGCAATTGGTTTACAATGAGATGAATAGTTCTAGATCAGAAGAAACCGGGGAAACTTCTAGGTCTGGGCAGTCTTCTCCTAAAAGTTTAGACAAGTGACTACAGCTATCTTATGTAGTATACTATATTGACTGGTTATGATTACATAGAGATAATAACTCCTATAGTTATACATTTATAATATCAGAATAGTAATTGTGAATCTCTTCTATGGAATTCATATATATTTATTATGGTACTGTTGTGTTTAAGAAACATATAACTTAGTAAGAATTATGATTCTACTCTTGTTGTGACTTATTTTCAACCTCATTTTATTGCATTGGATGTCTACGTAGAGTTAATGTGACATTCGTGCTTGCCAAAAAATTATTGTGGTGTTTTGTAAACTTCAATCACAGTGCATAAGATCCTCAGGCAGCCAATATTATTGGGTAAGAAACATAAACACTTCTAAAAGCGTGGCATGTCCGTGTCGTGTCCGTGTCAAACACCGACACTTGTTGGACACTTTCCTGGCACGTATCTGACACTAATCCAAAAGCGTCTTATTTATAAATAAAAAAAATTATAAAAGAAAAAAAAATTAGACTCAGACACTCTTTGGACACTTAGAGGACATACGTGTCCATTGATTAGACACATACAAAACTAATTATAAGTTTGAACAAAATGACTTAGAATACAATGATAAAAGAAAAATAATATCAATTTATAGAAATTAGTATTATATTGTATTTATTTATTGTCTTAGAATGATATATTCATATATAAGATATATAATAAATATATAAAATTATATATTTTGTGTGTATCCCCCACGTATCATTAAAATTTCTCTGTGTTTTTAAAATTTTAAAATTTTAAAAGTGTTCTATTATATTTTTGGCCATTCTTGTATACTTAATTGGAAAATCAATAGTGAAAATTGAATCAATTAATTATAGCTTTCTCATTAAGTAGTTTGTTTAACTGCTTGTTTCTCTCCATTGTGGAACTCTTTGTTGAGCTGATATTGTTAAACTTATTAATTGTAAATTCGGTTGGGTTGTTTATTATAGATTTATAAGTCATGGAGGACATACGTGTCCATTGATTAGACACATACAAAATTAATTATAAGTTTAAACAAAATAACTTAGAATACAATGATAAAAGAAAAATAATATCAATTTATAGAAATTAGTATTATATTGTATTTATTTATTGTCTTAGAATAATATATTCATATATAAGATATATAATAAATATATAAAATTATATATTTTGTGTGTATCCCCCACGTATCATTAAAATTTCTGTGTTTTTAAAATTTTAAAAGTGTTCTATTATATTTTTGGCCATTCTCGTATACTTAATTGGAAAATCAATAGTGAAAATTGAATCAATTGATTATTGCTTTCTCATTAAGTAGTTTGTTTAACTGCTTGGTTCTCTCCATTGTGGAACTCTTTGTTGAGCTGATATTTGTTAAACTTGTTAATTGTAAATTCAGTTGGGTTGTTTATTATAGATTTATAAGTCATGTTGACTTAATTTTCATCATAATTGTAATATTTAATCTCATCAATTACACACACACACAAATGTATAAATTTTAGCATATCTCGGTCTTGCTTGTTGTCGGTTTTTATTTTTCAATATTGTGACTAATATGTGCCCCTCATGCCTTGAATTTCTAACTCCGTCACTGTCTGAGAGTTTAACTTTTGTAAAGAGGCTTTGTTATGTGTTTTGGTAGAAATTAAACCAATAAAAGCAGCAAATAAAGTGATGTTGTGTTAGGTTGTGTATCTTTAAAGCAGTGACAAGTATAGAGAAGGTTTGTATCATTGCCATTAATTTCCGTGAGTTTATAACAAAAAGGAAAAAAGTACAGCATTCTAAGCATCCTAAAAATCCCAGTCTACTTGGACTTTGGCAGTTTCACGAGAAGTGGCCTCAGTTTCAACTTCAACCTTGGTACTCTGATTGGCAGCAGGGACGACGTCCTCAGAGTTTGATTCATAGGGATCAACCCCTTTAAATTCATAAGAAGGAGGGAGAGTGGCATTGGCGTTCATACTGGCAAAGGCCTTGATCCAGTCATGATTGAAATCTATATTCTCGAAAGCTGAAACGTCAAGTGCATAGGTGTTTACAGTCTCAATTTTTTTCCATTCGAACTCGGCCTTGTAGTGCTCATTCGCGGCATCAAGCACCTACTTTAACTACCTCAAATAATTCTATACCCTACTTTAACTACCTCAAATTTTTCCCAAAAAAAGATTGTTTGATTGAAATTAAATTTATGTAGTGTGAGATCCATATGTAAAATGAATTTGAACCACAAGATAATAATTTTGAATAATTTATGAATAATTAAGTCTAAGTTTGTAGTATTACTCTATACCTAGTAGCACGGGTACATCAACTAGGGTAAGGGTGTCCAATATTGTACATGCCTAAGTGTTTGATTCATTTAACTCCTATGTCTAACGGCCCGAGTATACAACAAAATTTGCTTTTTCCTTATTATAATTTTTTTACTTTTTAAGATAAAATAATGTTAACAAGGTATCATAGAATATTTTATGTATAATATAGAGATTTTATGCCTGATTTTATAGTAAACTAGAATTATCAATTATGCGTGCAAAGTGAATTTTTAACTACACATGTCAAACCCATATATCATACTCTTACCCAAGCGCATGTACAAGTCAATGCCCAATCAATTAACACAAGAAGCCAAGCATGACCTAGCAAGATTGCTTGAAAACATGAGTGGCATTTTCCACTTTATTCATTAGAAAAACCATCAGATTCAGAATAACCACTTCACTACCCACAACACAGCATTTGCCTCTGACAAAAAACTATACACCATGTTTATTTCTAGTTTTTTGAAAACACTTTTTAAAAATTTTTACTTTATTATTTTTTCTATTTTTTTGTTTTTATTATTTTTTTAATATTTTAAATAATTTTTTTTAATTTTTAGACACACATAACATAAATACACTTAAAGAGTATAATTTTTGTAAAAAAAAAATATTTAAAAAATTCACTAAATACCAAAAATACAAAAAAAAATTACAAAATTTAATATATTTTTGTGTATTTATTAATTTTTTAAAATATTTGTTCACAAATATTTTATTTTTTAAATATATCTAAGTAAGATGCATCTAAAAAAGTTTAAAAAAGAAAAAATTCTTAAATTTAAAAAATATTCACTAAAAATAAAAAACTCAATTTTCAAAAAACTGAAACTAAACACACTAATAGATATTTGACAGTACAAGTAGACGGATCCAAACCAATTGGCCACTTTTTCTTATAAAACTAAAAACCAATGAATCATTTTAGATGGTTAAAGAGTACAGATATTTGAAACTACGAGTACAAGAAACCATATTATATAATGAACATTGCATGAAAAAAAAGCTTGAAGAACTATGAGCAGAGATTTGATCATGTGAAAATGAACTTAGATCATCTTATTTGACGGGACTGAAAGATCTTTCTCGAGCATGAAAGAAAGATCTGGCATCTGTGACAACACTCTCTCTACATCACCATCCTTTGCCTCTGCGGTTGAATTTAAAATTTCTCCGTCTTTAGCAGCTTGTCCAACATTCCCTCCATTGTTTAAATCAGCCATCCTAAACACGTATAAAAGTCCATATAAGATAACGTTGATAAGTTTATTATACAGTACATCAAAAATACATTGAAAAAACTAATTTCGACTTCTGTAATTTTAGTGTTGGGTGCAAGGAGTTATTAATCTGACTTCTGTGATTTGTCTGATAAAATGCAGAACAGAGCAGAAACTTGGATTGAATTATCTGAAGTGCATACAAAAAATATCATGACATAAATCTAATTGGGCTGTGACATGAGAAACAACACAAATCACTAGTACGTACGTGTACTGGGGCAATCTTCCCACAACACTATAGAAGGTTGACTTGAAATATTTTTTTTACAGCAGATAGACGTATGAAAACCTAAAAGGGAAAGGAAAATGAAGTGTGTGGTTCTACTAGAATTCTTTGAAAAGGCCTTTCAAGCATGCTTGAGACCCATCTCATAATCTTTATTTATTTTTATTTTTTTTATTTTGTTTTGATAAACAAAATTCATTGAGAAACTAAAGCATCAAGGAGAAGCTAAAGAGTAGCACCCCCAAAAAAAGCAACACCACAAACAAAACAAAACAAAGAACAAACCAAAACTAAACGACTCAATCACATCATCTAAAAAGTCAAGAAAGTAAACAAGTCTGGATCCATCAGCCCAGACACCCAACCACACAAAACATTGAGAAACCATCTTTCTAAACAAGACACCGAATGAACAACCTCCTGGAAAATATGCCGATTCCACTCCAGCCAAATCAGCCACATTAAACACAGAGGAGCTATAGCCCAAGCCTTCCGACGCTTCTTCCCCCACCCGACCCCCTGCCCAACTCCACAAAACCCCCAACACCCCCTTCGGTTGGCACCCACTGCACCCGAAAGGTAGAAAAAGTAAGAACCCACAAAACATGACGTTCCACCTAATGTGGTCAGCCAGCAGCCCATACTCCTGAATGCTTTGGTCACCTTAGGTGGAAAACAAGGACTTTAAAATTGATATCAAAACTATATTTAAAAAACTAATTTCAACTTCTGTAATTTTAGTGTTGGGTGCAAAGAGTTATTAATCTGACTTCTGTGATTTGTCTGATAAAATGCAGAACAGAGCAGAAACTTGGATTGAATTATCTGAAGTGCATACAAAAAAAATCATGACATAAATCAAATTGGGCTTAGACATGAGAAAGAACATAAATCACTAGTACGTACGTACATAGTTGTCAAATCGGGATTCGTATCGTGAATCGAAATGGTTTCGTACCGAATCGCGAATCAAATCGAATCGTGAATCGTAAAGATTCGTTAACTTTTTCTAAATTACTTAAAAACATATATTTGCACATTTAGATGTTAAATAAATCTTATAAATATAAAATATTTAGATTTAAATCAAAAAAAATGTTGTTTTGAATAATAATCACGTAGTTTAATAGATAAGAAGTTAACAAAAGTTCCTATGTAAGATCACCATCTTACCTTTTTTCTTTTTTAGATATTTCTTATCAACCATTCTTAATAAAGATAATAACCAAATAGACAAACTATTAATTTCCAAAATAACAATAATTAACAACAATATTGATGTTTGGACAATAAGTATATATACTTTTCTAAGTAACAGTAAGCAAATAATAAAAAAGAATTATTTAGAATATTTTATTTTAAAGCCTAAAATGTTTTAAAAGGTATAGCTGGCCTCACACATGTAATATTTAATTATATTCAATTTAATAAATAGCAATAGATAATTCATAGTGTAACTTTAATCTTAAACATCTTTAAAAGATATATTATGATTTTTTAAAAGGAAAAAATATGAGAAGAAAGATTAAAAATATGTTGGGTCTAACTAAATCTGCTTGGATCCTAATAAAAACTCCATGATCACTAAAATAACAACAAACCATGTATATATGTTGGTCAGTTTGGTATTAAATGCTATTAAAAGTTGTGTTATGTCATTTTCACTAAAAAGATAGAGAAAAAAAGAGTCAAAAATATGTCGGACACTAATTTCAAAAATTGCATGAATCGTGAATCGATTGTGAATCGTACGATTCACTAGAGATTCACTTCCAAAATAGATTCACCGATAGATTCGTATCGATTTTGCAAAAATTACGAATCGAATCGTGAATCGTAAGATTCTGATAATAGAGCGTACCTGTACTGGGGCAATCTTCCCACAACACTAAAGAAGGTTGACTAGAAATATTTTTTTAACAGCAGATAGACGTATGAAAACCTAAAAGGGAAAGAAAAATGAAGAGTGTGGTTCCATTAGAATTCTTTGAAAAGGCCTTTCAAGCATGCTTGAGACCCATCTCATAATCTTTATTTATTTATTTATTTTTATTTTTATTTTGATAAACAAAATTCACTGAGAAACTAAAGCATCAAGGAGATGCTAAAGAGTACACCCCCAAAAAAAGCAACACCACAAAACAAACAAAACAAAACAAAACAAAGAACAAACCAAAACTAAACGACTCAATCACATCATCTAAAAAGTCAAGAAAGGTAAACTAGTCTAGATCCATCAGCCCAGACACCCAACCACACAAAACATTGAGGCCAAGTTTGGGAAGACTCAAAAAAGCCAAAAAGCCAAAAAGCCAAAAAGTTACTCAAAAAGTTAAAATGTTATCACTATTCACCAAAAGTCAACAATTACGGCTGCACAACTCCCAATACTAATTTTCCCTTACACATTAATTTATACAATTTTTTAATATACATTTTTCCATAAAAAGTCAAAAAGTTAACCCAAACATTCATATTTTCAACCTCAACTTTTTAGTCTAAAAAGACAAAAACTGCACTTATTTAGGATACCCCAAACAACTCCTGAGAAACCGTCTTTCTAAACAAGACACCGAATGAACAACCTCCTGGAAACTATGCCAATTCCACTCCAGCCAAATCAGGCAAATTAAACACAGAGGAGCCATAGCCCAAGCCTTCCGACGCTTCTTCCCCACCCGACCCCCTGCCCAGCTCCACAAAACCCCCAACACCCCCTTCGGTTGGCACTCACTGCACCCCAAAGGTAGAAAAAGTAAGAACCCACAAAACATGACGTTCCACCTAATGTGGTCAGCCAGCAGCCCACACTCCTGAATGCTTTGGTCACCTTAAGCGGAAAACAAGGACTTTAAAATTGATAAGATGTCATGGTTGCGGATTTTTAGAATGTGGTTTGCATACATATACATTTATACAAGTAAAATATATTATCACGGAACAAGAGGGAGTCGAGGGCTGCTAAAGATGCTATTTATCAATAGCTGAAGTTCTATGGCAAGAACCTCAAGCACAGTTCATTACAACATTTGTTTGTCATCATGTATAAAAGTAGTAAAACATGTGAAGTGAAAAGATTGGAAAGAAGAAAAGAAACAGACTCATATGTTCATATGAAGCCTGCCTTGGACATGTTTAGGGTTAATTTGGGTCATGATACTGTAAATTTATAACTCATCACGATGTTGGTTAGATTTATTTTGTATTATTAGGTTATATAGTCAATGGTCATTTGGAAATTTTTGAATTTTCTGGAAACAGCCTATAAGGTAAATGGGTCTTCTCATGGGTCAAGTCACATTAACAGTTATTATGTATGACTTCATTAGGTTGAGAATGTTCTAGTGGACAAAGTTTCTTCATTTCCTATTTTAAAGTCATACTAATATAATTAAGAGAAGTGTAGCAGTCTCTCAATGCGTATGTAATCATTTTATTCGATAGTATAGTGGAAAGAATTTAAAAATACATTAAAAAAATTAAATTAAATTAAATTAAACGTTGTGTATAGCTTCTGAAGTTTTATGCAGTCCATAACACAAGCTTCCTTTAGGGATAATTCCTAAAGAATTCGAAGTGGGATGCATAAAGTCTTTCTTATGGAATGAAAGAAGTACTTCAGAACATGTCTTTCAGCTTCAACTAGGGGTATACACAGATCAGATTGATCTGATTTTAGAGTAAACCAAAAACCGAACTGGTTTTTACAGTTCCAACAAAATTGGAACCGTAACCAAACCGTTGTGGATCTGGACCAAAACCGAACCATACAAACCTGTTTGGTTTGGTTCAATTTTACAGTTATAGAAATTTTATATAATAATAAATATGATATATTTTATGTTAGTAAATAAACTAGCAATAATTAATTTGGTCAAATTGATTAGAGTTTATCAATGTCACAATGAAAATTAGTGTTCAAATCTTATAAGAAACTTTTTATATTTTAATTTTTCCATAAACAAATATGTACGGTTCGGTTACAAACAACCGGGAACCGGACCGATTTGAACGGTTCCACTAGTTTCAGAATGAGAACTGAAGCTAGTAAAAACAAAACCAAACCAAACTAAACCAGCGGTTTAGACTGGATTGGATCAGTTTACCGGTTCCACCGGTTTTTTTGAACACCCCTAGCTTCAACCTATACTAAATTCAACTCCCACCAAAGCTTCACTGACTTTCCTCTTTTCCACATATACCAGAAGTACTAAGAAGAGGTCAATTTAAAACCTTCCAGTCAAGAGATATGTCATATTAGCCAAGAAGAAGAATGAAAAAGAAAAAAAGAAGAAAAAAAAAAAGGTACAACGAAGCACCCAGTTAACATTTAAAAATGAACATGTGACCACAACTCCCAGCTATGGAGCAAAGAAGATCCACTGAATTTTCACTGCCTTGAACATAGAACATCAATCTAGCCAAGCCAACCACGCTAATGAAGAATCTTACTTTACTTACATAAAAGGTACCTATTAAGGAAAAGCTCTATTTTAACTTAATAATACTATTGGTGATTGAAGTTATTATAATAACTTGTTGGACATAAAACTAAAAGTAAATTATTTTCCACCAAAACATCATAATGACCATAATAAAAGAACACCTCAATGTTAAGTACTGCAATTTTGTTTACATTCATTCTAATGATAAGCTATATAAAAAACAAATTTTACAGAAAGATTATTTTAGCAAGTTCACATAATAGTATAAAAATCCTGACAGCATCCTGGGACGAATGAGAAACCAAATATTGTCACATACACAAACTCAGGCATTTTGCTTATCAAAGTGATCCATTCTAACAAGCCCTTATAGCAAATTGTTAAAAACTTGATCGATGAAGTGGGATATTACAACAAAACAGGAATTCTGAGGGAACGCACCTGTTTATGGCAGGACCTTCTGCCTCCATATTATTCACTTCTTCGGAACCAGATTGATTAAATGATCCTGGATGTGAAAAACTACCAAAATCCATTTCTTGAAAATTGTTGGTTGAACTGGAAAATTTTATATCTGATGTCTTTTCATCAAAAGCAGTAACCTGATTACCACTTTGTGTCGAAGAATTCTTCGAAGGATCTTGTGGACTGGTAGAGGTTGTAAAATCATTCCAAACATCAAATGAATCATTCTCTTCACTGATTGTCTTATTTTCAGGTACACAGTCCTTACTTTTGATGGTTGCATCGACCAACTCAGCCGGGTGGGATGACGAGAAGTCCAAATTATGCAACAGATCATCTTGAATCCCGCCATTAGTTGCTGAAGCAAAAGGGGTTGAAGCGTCCTTCGGTTTTTCATCTTCTAATTCTTTTCCATGTCCAAAGACTGAATCCATGTGGGCAGAAAGATCAACCGTGGAACCCACAAAAGGATCAAATGATCTTGAACCCTCCTGATTTTCCGAATCAGCAGACTGAAAATCCGCCTCCCAACCAGAGAAAGTGCTACCATTCTTTACTTCAGAAGAGGTAACTGCTGTCTCGGAATGCTGAACATTCTGAAATAAGCTAATATTTGTTTGGGTGGCAAATGCATTCATTTCCATATTCTCACTCTGCCTGTTAATTACTGGCTGTTCTTCCAATGAATTAAAAAAAGCGTCCCTCTTCGAATCGGCAAAAAAGTTGTCCAGGTCAACTCGAACTGAGTTCAAAGAACTTGTGTTTTGTATTGGTACACCATTTGTAAGACTCTGCTCAGTTTTCTTTGACTCAGCTGGCAATGTGATTTTGATATTTAAGAGATCAGATAATGAAATTTCATCTTTTGATCTACTCCGTCCTCTGTTAAATTTATTTTCTTCGACAGATGGTCCAACAGTCTCCTGAAAAATAGAATGCTAATTTAATTCCAGAATTTCAAAAAAAAAGGGCGGGGGGGGGGGGGGGGGGGGGAATAACCAATCAGTGGAATGATTGGAAAAAAAGTCTCAGATTAATGATAAAGTATACAAATTCTAATTATTAAAATCATATACTTTTCCATAGGAATGCAATTATTTTTGAAAGCTCCACCTGATTTGTAATTGCCCCAACATAAAACCTAACCCATCTTCAGGATCTAAAGAATAGTTGTTCCCATACAATACATATAAACCTAAACAAAAGTAGTCATAGTTGTGATAACCCAACCCGTACTATGCTTAAGTATGCATGTAGTTATGAGTTTGATATGAATTTGCAAGTTTAAGTATATGAATTATGTAAATTTGGAATAATATATGTTGCATGTAGGAATATATGTTACAATTGAAACTTTGAACTGAAAATTGAAAGCCTTAGAGGTGCAATAAGCCAAAACCGATTTCATATCTAGATTTATAGAGCTTACGGTGAAATTTTGAAAAATTACGATTCGTAATGTTTAATTAACCTAAATTATATATCTCTAGCTCTTTTGTGTTCTTCATTCTTGTTGAGACTTGCTAAAGAGTGGGTTAGAGAGAGAGGAAGAGGAGAAGCTAGGATTTTACTAGAGTTTCAAAGGACAAACCCTAGATTGAAGTTAAGGTATGAAAATTTACTTATAATATTTGTCTCTAACTCATCCTTGTCATGGAATCAAGAAGAAATTGGGAGTTTTGAGCTAGGGTTTTGAGTTGTATAAGGGTTTGAATAAAATCATGAAATCTCTTCATTTTTGTTCGATTTGAGTTCATTCTCGTGCTTGATCCATGAAACAAACTCTAGATGGTTTATACAACCAAGTTTTGTTGGAAGATTCACCATGTTTGTATGTATTTTGAGCTTGGGTATGACATTCATGATTGTATGAAAAAGATGAGTCAATGAATTTGATGTTGAAGCAAGATTGATATGTTTAAAGTGAAATTACACTCGTATCATGCTAGTATATCATGTTTTTGGGTTAGTTTTACATGAATTTGGAATTGGAAATGAGTTTGGAAAGTTTGCATTTTTGTGCCATTTTCGGACTCTCTGATTTTGCCCAGACCGCACGAGCGGCCACGGGCTTCGCACGAGCGGAACATGAACAAAAATAGGGAATTGCATTCTGCTTAAACCACCGCTCAAGCGGTCAAAGTGGGCGCACGTGCGGCCAGCCCTATTTCAGCTTATACCTAGTAACTTCAAATAAGTATATCTCCCTCATCCGGACTCCGTTTTAAGTGATTCTTAAGCCTAAATTCAAACCCTTCCAATGATGATGGTCTCACAACTAAATTCTAAGTATACAAATAGATATGCTCAAATTAATGAAGGATGTTTATTTTCTTTTAGCCATTTCATGCCATTTCCTACCCTAACTTAGTTTCCTTTTGCTTCTTGCTATTTCCTTAAATCTTAAATGTGTAAACATGATACTTTCAATCAAAACTTATGAAATTGTGGTAGGAAACATTAATCTAAGCCATGAACATTTAGGGTCGTTTAAAGTACATCTTTAACACAAGCTTTGTACATGATTCACATGTAGAGAAGTTTAGCATCAAACACTTGAGAGGGATTAAAGAAGGGGGAATGATTGTACAGTTATGTAACGAATAAATTGATTGAGTGAATTGAAGGCAATGTGATTTGAAATGTTATGCTTGATTATGTTTCTGCAGGCTGAGTCGTTAAAGAGTGCCAACCGACCAAGCACTGTGAGTAATTTCTTTGTAACGGTATTTTCATATGAATACTTTGGAATTGTGAAACTTATGCTTTGTATAAATTATGTGCCTTAACAAGTGTTTCCAAAATGATAATTATGCTTGAAATCTTCGGAGTAATTATGCTATGACAAGTTTCTGAAAGAATGTTTGGACAAAAATGAATGAGTTTCTTTTTGAGCAACAATTGTGATAAATTGGAAAAATGTACTTTGACCCTTAGTAAGTATTATTGGTCTATGATCCGTCTTGAACGTTTTGTATAAGCTAATGATTTGCTATAAACGTTATGTATGATGTCAATCTTTGACGGTTGTCCTATCTGGCAATTCAGTAAGTTAATTAAGGCCTAAATCACGGTGAGTAATAGTAATGTAAAGATACGTTCTTAAATAATCATTTTGATCCAGGTACGGTGACTTATTCTGAAATTATGTTTTAATCGAAATGAATGAGTTTTATGAATGTTATACGACATGTGCAATATGGACCTAACGTCGTTCCGTTTATGCTACGATGTGCTTGGGCCTAAGGCCATTTTGATATATTGGACTCAAGGTCGTTTTTCATATGTGGGCCCGAGGTCATTTTGATATATGTGGGTCCAAGGCCGTTTTGATAAATGATTGGGCCCGAGGCCGTTTTGATATATTGGACCCAAGGTCGTTTTGTTATATGTTGGGCCTAAGGCCATTTTGATATATGTGGGCCCAAGGCCGTTTTGATATATGATTGGGCCCGAGGTCGTTTCGTATCATATGTTGGGCTTGAGGCCGTTCTGTGGACCCAAGGTGGCTCTATAAATGTGATTAAAAGAAAAGTATGAACTTCACTATTTGATAAGCTACGAAAGGATCAATGAACGGTATTTGATACTATTTGCTTTCGAAATGAGTTTAACTATGTCAAGATCTTTATATTGATTAAATAAGACATAAAGCTCATTCATTTAACCCCTCACATGGAGATTACTCATTGGGCTTCCAGCTCACTCTGTTTATTTATATGTATGTAGGTGAGCATCACGGAGTGGGAGTTCCACATTAGAGACCACATCAGAATCAGCCTTTTGTAAAGCCTTTTGTAAAGCCACCCAAGTTGCACCTCTATGTCGGGGCTTTGGTGTTGTTTTGGCCAAGCTTGAGAAGCTTGGGTTTTGTATAGTCTATGATGTTATAAGTTTTGATTCTGGGTTATGTATATATAATGTATGTGTGTAAATGTTATGGCATATAACATGAAGTGTGAAGTGAGATATAATATGTATGTTTCTGATCATGGCAGATATACACAGCTCAATGGACACATTTCATAATTGCTTCCGCTATAGGCTCCGTATATTTACATATATTCTGTATGATCGTTTGAGGCCTACGGTAATCTACGGATTACTGGTCAGTTATAACTCAAACTTTTAGGAGTGGGTTCGGGTTCTGACAATAGTTTTCTCTCAAGTTCGAATTATCTTGACTTTGAAAATCCTAAGTGATTCGTGATTAGATCAAGATTAAAATATTCCAAATCCCAAGTATCCAAAACACACAATCTAAACCAACAAGCACTTACGAAAGTGATTTAGATTGTTTGTTTTTTGGAATAAACAATAAATCGACACAAACGATTTTTACGTAGAAAAAACCACAATTGAAGGTTGTAATCAAAAATCACGGGCGAAACGCCACTAATTAATCCACTACTGAAGTAAGAAAGATTACAAAGATAACACACAAATTAGCCCACTCAGTCAATTTGTCTTCGAATCTTCTGTAACTCTTTCACCACGCCTTCGTCTCGGAACTGATCAATCCTGAAGTTGAATCTACAACTTCACTTGTCGAATGAACGACTACGTACAGAATCAAACTCCTTTTGATACTCTACGCTTGAATCTTCGGAATCCACCGAAGAGATCTTTCTCTTGAATTTAAAGTAACCAACTCCTTGATGTATGTATCTTAGATCATGATTGAAGAACTCTTCTCAAAACATCAAGGAAAACTCAAAAAAAACCTCAGAACAAAACTTCAAACAAAACCCTAGGACTCTTGAATAAGGTCTAGGAAAAGTAGTCCTAAAAACAACCTAAACAGGTATAAATAGGAATCCTGAGTCCACGATCTCCGCTCGAGCGGCCAACATCCCGCTCGAGCGGCTTCAGCAAAATTTGCGTGTGACAAAACAGAGTTCCGCTCGAGCGCTTGATGACCCGCTCGAGCGCGAAATCATACCTTCCAGTATTTTTACAGACCTGACAAAATACTGAGAGACTACAATATCCGCTCGAGCGCCAATGGTCCCGCTCGAGCGGGAAGAACAAAAACACAGGAAAATTACAACTTGTTCAACCCAAAGTTTTGTACCCGGATTTGACAAACAAGGGACCTAACAATCTCCCCCTTTGTCAATTCCCGAACAAAACCTTTCTAAACAAATGTCCTTAAACACACGCACTAGATAAGATTAATAAAAAAGAGAAAAGACTCTAAACAACTCTATTATCAAACAATCTTGCCATGTGATCAATCAATCCATCCATCCAACTTCATCCAACATTCACCTGTGAAATAGCTAGCAACATACCAGAAAAACAAAACTTGTGGAACTGTATAAGAATATACCAAAACATACAAAAAAAAGAGAACCATGATACAGTATCCACCAACTACAATAACCAACCTATCCGAATATCAACAAAGTATCCAACATATCCAAACATGAACAAAATATCCATAGGAACAAAATATCCATCTAACAAAATATATCAAAAAAATGTATACCACCAAGATCACCAAAATATCCATAGGAACAAAATATCCATCTAACAAAATATATCAAAAAATGTATACCACCAAGATCACCATCACTGATTTATCTCCCCCTTTTTGATCGGGAATCAAGGAATCAATAAATCATGCACCAGGGGGAGGTGGTGGCTGCTGAATCTGAAGTAAGGAAATGATGTGGGCCAGCTGAGAAGTAGTGTGGACGGCAGTCTGCTCCAACTAACCAAGGCGACCATCAAACGCATCAAAGCGGGCATCCAGAAGGTCCAACCGCCGGGTCATAGCCTCCTCAAAATGCTGAAGCTGATCATGAAAAGCTCGAGGTGGAACAGGGGGAATAGCATCCTCCTCACCCCCTGCTGCTGCAGTGTCAAACTCGGCCTCCTCAGCTAGGCCAGCAGTGGTACCTGCAGAAGTACCGGCCCG